ACTAAGTTCCGAGTCTGTGATTATGTGTTGCTTGGTTATGTGTGGGGCTGCGGTAATTTATGTCGACTTTCCTTGTTACTCCCTTTTCTGATATATTGTGCTTATTTTTACTGAACTAGTTCTACAAAACAAAATCCACTGATTTTGCAAGAAGTAAGATATCCATCATTTAATTCAAATTCTAAGCAATTAAATGTTTATCTATATTGCAGGTCAATTGTCTCTGTAAAAATGAAATTAAATACATCCTTTGCATCAAAATTTACGTTTAAACAGTGCATAATTGAGATATACAACAAATATGCTTAGATATTGCAAATTGCCATAAATAATTGATGCAAAAATATCAGATACTAGTAAGAGGAAAACAGAAAATATACATTGGTCATTTGAGATAATTGATAGTCTAGGATATGGAGACAAGCTTACTGTCTTTTCTTTTTCCCTCGGGTATTTCCCAACAATCAAGATATTACGAGACGTGGAAACAAAACCATTCGGTTAATCAGTTTCTGGTCGTCAACAATGTTGAATTTGTGAGAATAATCACATTTGAACAAAAGAGGATCTCACTTTGATATATAATTAAACATAACTGAACGATTGATTACTGTTAGCATCCAATAAAGACAATACTTTCATCCAGGAGTAAAATCAAGCGTTCGGCGACAAGCCATTAACATGATATGAATAGAAATCGGTCCTCTAATGAGTGTAACACGTGTTGGATCCGATACTATTATAATTGAGCAGCTTGTCCGTCCGTACGAGGCTAAGATAAACCGGTAATTGGATGTATCTTAACTTCTACCTGTACCAATAGCTTCCTGATTCACAAACTTTCTTAACAATACAGTTCGTAATCTTGGCAAGTTGCATAACCAATGTGGCCATACCACGTGACTTTTCGGGTACGGAACACGCCGATTTTTCACCCTAATCAGGTATGTTTTTTATTCACAACTTATTTATTACTCAACCGAATTTGATCAGATAAGGCGCAGAGTACCCGTAATTATATCAGCTAACCACGGTATATCAAAATTCTGAAAACCCCTGAATGGTTTTTGAGAACATTCGAGTACAGTTTTCTTTTCATAGCCTGGGCCGAGGGGAACGGTACACACTAATTTGTCATAACAAGCAATTTCCATCGTCGGATACCCACGATTGATAAACATGTTACATAACATGCAATCAACCGTGGGTAAAATGAATCGATTTGCGTCGATATACAGCAACAGGTGCGTAAAATATCTACCAATGACATCGCGTTTAACAAATCTATATTCTTCAACAGCGGAGGTAAAAAACAATAAGAAAAAATGGCAGCGCCCACGGTTAAAAAAATTTAGCACGTGTCTTGCTAAAATCAATGGCAAAAACTATCGCCAAATCAGTTCTTCTGCAAGCAGATATCAATCAGAAAGAAAAACATCACGTTGTAAAAGTAAATTATCTATACTTTCTTGCTGGAAATCGTTTCATTTTTCGATGTTGAACTTTTCACGCCGTCTATGGTTGTCGCAATATTGTTTGTAATACCGAACGTCGTACAGAACGAGCGTTTTGATTGGTTTTAATCGCCTCATGAAATCGTGAGGCAGCCAATGAAATAGCTGCCTTTGACACACCTCTAATCGACTGAATATCGGCAAAAAATCCCACGGCTGATAAATGTTAATGGTTCGGCCGTGGGTATCCGACGATGGCAATTTCTAGCAAGTCATATGTTTTTTGACACTATTTCATAGAAAAATACATGTTAAATCTGATATATTTACTATGTCCAATGTATCGAGTGAATGCAGTGATGTTTTAGCATATTTTCATAAAGTTATGTTGAAATGGTACGGAACACACTGTTATTTCAAAAGATACGGTACACACACAATTTCTGTCTTTGTAATAATTCTAAAATAAAATATATTAAAATTTAATTTCAATTATAATGTGAGTGATTTTTTTCATAGTTATACATTTTATTAATTTAAACGAGAACCCAGGGACCTGTTTTGCAATGTATCATAATGCTTACTTTTAATGTTTATATGTATTTGTGCACTATATTTCAAGAGATCACGCTTAACATTTACAACCTCCATGTAATTGTCCTATTTAAAATCACCTAGGGTATGTTAAACACTTCGATCTTCACAGAATCAGGTAGTTGCGCTCTATAGAAAGAAAATGTTGTTATATAATGCTGTGTTTATTGTTGTTTATTGTTGTTTTTTTATTTCTTTTAGTTTAAGTGAAGTAAGATATGCCTTTTTGCTTCATCCTGAAAAAATAAAACAAGGTCATAACCTTAATCGCTGAAAAGTATCATTACTTGATAACAATTTATACATGTATATATACAAAATATGAAAAACAAGATCAACAAGGAAAGGCGGCGTTCAATGAACGCAACCCCCAAAATATATACAAATACAAATACCAATATATATACAAATACTTAATAATAAGCAAGTCATTAGGTACAATTTTGCAATATCAAGGTCATGTTTAACTAAATCAAATCACAGAAGGCGCTGAATTTGTTTGGGTCTCAGAATGTCAGAAAGGTGAAGGCTGTGAGATTGTGAACCAATTTGTTTTTGTATAGTGCCACCAATGTTGTTTCTAGTGTCATAACTGTAGTAAATTGGCTATAAGGCTTATTGCAACACTGATATGTAATTCATTGTTTATTTGGCTTAAACAATTAAAAACAAAAACAAAAAAAACATGAGTTGCCTTAACTTGGATTTGAACTCAGGACATCTCTCTTCCTAAACGAGCGTGTAACCCCTCGACCACGGGGAAGTTATAAGATAACAGCCTGAAGAAAACCATATCATTCTAAATTAGGGTTTGTAACCCTTATTAATTTCGTTTGACACTGATGTAAATAATCATGGAGCTTAATATTACATGTATATCTGTAAAGAATTACACAATATTTGAAATCTTTGACCAATCGGGAACTACTTTTTCTTCTCCCGAGAAGGCTTGAAAATTAATGCGCCCGTCATTTGACAATCTTAACACAGTGATCTCCCCTTATTTGTTCAGCGTTAGAGTACATATAAAGGTAAGTAACCGCTTCCAGGGGTTAGGACTAATTTCTTATTTTGCAAATAAGCATATCAGAGCCTGAAATTTCGCTACCATTATTTGTTTGGTCTGACGACCCATACAAATAAAAATGTAGTCGCCATTGCTTAAATTTTTTTATGTTTAAAGGCATGAAGCTTTAAAAATAACCTTTAATTCATGTAATTAGGTCATTTTTGGTTTGGTTTCACGGCTCATAAAACTGACATTATCATGTGGCGACTTTCGAGTTTTACAAGTGGCCCTTTGAGTATAAATAAAGGAACGAACGGGCACCTGAGTAAAACGACCGACATTCTGTACGGTAGTAAGAAAACTTTCTCACATAAAAAATCGAAACATCGAAGTCACTTGTGGTCTCGTACCTACTTCATGTAGTATATAAAACAGAACGCAGCCTCCAAAATCCATAGCATTTGATTGACAAAATGGGTATTATTAAAATATCATTTTATTTTTAACACAAACACGCAAGCACACATATCCATGAACTCAAGTGTTAAATGCATCTTGAAATGAAAGTCCAAGATAGGCATAATTTTACCAAATTTCCTAACATGTATATCCTTACATGTATATGTAACAAGGTTACCTTGTATAAACTACGTTACGTTATATAACAGGCCTTGTTCCCATATGGGTTCTTCAAATTATCAAATTATTAATTTTGATTGCACGTAAAACTGCGAAATATATTTGCAATAATCGCACATAACAGATGTCCATGAATTTCACAATTCGTTTTATAATCCAAAAGAATATACCTAATTGTTTCAAATGAAAATCAAAACAAAACAAAATTTTGAATGTCTTCCGTATCCCTCCCTAAAATTTTAACATTTTATAGCCAAATATTAATTGCTCAACATATAAAATCGAATTTTGCGCAACGTACTCTCAAAATGTTCTTTTATTTTTTGAATAATCCTGTTTACATCAAACTGTAGGCATAATGATACTTTGCAAAACAGGTCCCAGGGTTCTCGTTTAAATTAATAAAATGTATAACTATGAAAAAAATCACTCACATTATAATTTAAATTAATTTTTTTATATATTTTATTTTAGAATTGTTTCAAAGACAGAAATTGTGTGTGTACCGTATCTTTTGAAATAACAGTGTGTTCCGTATCATTTCAACATCACTTTATGAAAATATGCTAAAACATCACTGCATTCACTCGATACATTGGACATAGTAAATATATCAGATTTAACATGTATTTTTCTATGAAATAGTGTCAAAAAACATATGACTTGCTAGAAATCGCCTGTTATGCCAAATGAGTGTGTACCGTTCCCCTCGGCCCAGGCTATGAAAAGAAAACTGTACTCAGGCTTCGCGAAAGTTGCCGGACCGTCGGACATGTCCGGCAAAAATCAGCCCGGTCCGATATTTTTTTTCGGAGTTCCGGTCCTTATGTCCGGTACGAATACCGGGATATATCCAAGACCGATCAAGACCGAGTTTTCTCCCTTGAATAAAAAAAATGTTAAACGAGTTTTGATTCGCCGTTTCCTTTTAAGTGTCCAATCAAATTCTAGATACATACGACTGTCAATAACCAAAATGTCGGTGTTATTACAATACTACGCTGGCGCTACGCCCGGAAAAAAACGCAAACTGTCAAATGAAGAAAAAAAGCAAAACAAAAGGAATACGAGGCCAGGCGCCCGCCGAGAAAATTTGTTGACAAGTGGAAAAATGGTCGCTCCTGGTTACTTTTCCTGGAGGAAGAAAAGAAGATGAAATATGCACTATGTTCTAATTTTTATAAAGATCGTGCAATGGACGATCGCCTATTGTCTAAAAATACATTCATATTGGGTTGTGGCAATTTAAAAATTTCTGCAATTGAGGATCATGAAAAATCAAAAAGTCATGAAAAGCCGTCACCAGTGAAATGTCAAAAAGTAGGACAGTCGCTGAAAAAATGAATTCTGATGCTGGCAAGTCACTGAAAATGTTGAAGCAAGCGGAAAGACACAAGGTTGTCTACCTGTTCAGAAATGCACATGCTGTTGCAAAACAAAATCGTCCCATATCTGACTATAAATGGTTGTGTGAGGTAGATCAAGCTAAAAAGCTGGACATTGGTAATACATATGTAAATGATAAGGCTGCTGTTGATTTCATTAGCTGCATTGCACAGTGTGAAAAAGAAAAGACTGTACAAATTCTAAATGACAGTTCATTCTTTTCATTCATGATGGATGGAACAACCGATATATCTGGAGGTAATATATACTTTTTCAAAAGATGTTGCACTTTAATTTTTTAATAGATCTTAACCTCTCAGTTTTTTACTTAAATTATAGATTATAACTAGTTCACACAACAATTTAATTATATGGTTATATCAAGATAAAATACAAATAGATGTTATATATATAATTTTAGATTACATGTTACATGTTGTTATCAACCTATAAATAAAAACGTTTATCTTGTATTTAGATGAGCAAGAGGCTATTTACGTAAGGACATCTAGTCAAGGTGCAGTAACTGAGAGATTTCTCAATATCGGTTCACCTAGATCGACAAAATCTGAAGATCTTTTCGAGCATGTTTTGGCAGTATTCAAAGAATGTAATGTTGATAAAGGTAGATATAATAATAGCAGTCTTTTCTTTAATTACTAATCTCCCCAAAATTCTTTTTTTCCACCTTAAACGGATAGAAAAAAATTATCAATATTCCTTTGATATCTTTTGCAAATTTTTCAAAATATAAATTGTTTATTATTATTATGAAAATCAATAAAATTAAAACAGGCGTAGTGGAATCTTCCATAATTATTCAATTAATAAGGTTATTTTATGCGTAAAGTTGTGTATTTACTTTATTTTTTGTAAGGAATTATTCATACAATGATATAATTATTTCTTTTAAAGAAATAACTGTTTTATTTCAATTCAATTTAAAAAAAAGACCATCTAGTTCGCTATAACACTCCATTAGGTGAACTCCCCAGAGCTATGCACAGAATATAACGGAAAACGGCCTTTAGCTAGGTTTTCTAATTCGTGAAAATAGAAATAAACCTTATTACTTTTTTTAAATTTGAAATCAATTTGGAAAATAAAAATATGTTATACTTTATTTTAGGCAGCTTAAGTCGACCTTCAGGCTTTCTTTGGTGTTTACTAAATTATGCATTATTAAATGAATATTTCAAACAAACTAGTGGGTATGGGCAGCGATGGCGCCTCCAATATGACAGGATCACGATCCGGATTGTCAACACTTTTGAGACAGCGTATCAACCCTGAAATAGTTAACGTACATTGTATGTGTCATAGACTTGAACTTGCTTTCCGTGATACACTGAAAAAGTCAAAATTGTATGATAAGTTGATGACATTGCTCATTGGCATACATTATTTTTACAAGAAAAGTTACAAAAACAAAAGTGCTCTCTTGAACGCCATTGAAGCAGTAGGTAAAGGTGTGTTACCACCTAAAGTAACTGGAACCAGATGGCTTCCACACCTATGTAGGGGAATAGGTGCTCTTTTGAAGACTTACAGAGCATTAGATGCCCAGTTATCTACTGCAAGTCGTGAAAATGCTAAAGCATAAGGCCTCCTTAAACTGATGTTAGATAAACATGTTCTGGCATTTGCCATTTTCTTACAGGTAAGTTTCAATAATGGTCGGATTTTATTTTTTAGAAAAGAATAGAAATCTAAGATAATTTGCTGATAAAATTAAATGATCCTGATTTAATATTTTCCTGTTAAAATTTTGTTTTAATTTTTTGTTTACATAGGTAAGAAAGTAATAATTACATAATAAATGGCAAGTGCATTGTACATGTATATAGCATGAAAAACATATGCAGTATAAAATATCAAACTAGTATATGTATTGACAAAAAACATTTTTTGGTTATTTTTCCTCATTTAGGATGCATTGGATCATGTCATGACACTGTCCTTGAAGTTACAGAGAGATGATGTGACATTGTCTGATAGTCTGTGCTGGGTTGAATCTACTTTAGAGTTACTTCAGGAAAAGAAGGGAAGGTATGTACATAAATTAGTTTGATAAAAGACTTCTGATTGCTAAATGTTTAATTGTCTATTTTTATTAAAGCAACATTTAATAAAATGGTAGTAATGTATATCATAAATTTGTCAGGAAGTGTGAAAGCTTATGTCATCTACTGGAGACTGGAATGTATGATGGGATTAAGCTGGAAGGTGCAACACCAACAATGACTTACACTGATGACATTCTCCAAGGTCTGTCAGATGCTATTAGTAACAGATTTATGACTGACCAGAAAAATGTGCAAAATGCCACAAAAATACTTAACTTTGGAAACTGGCCGGCAGCAGGAACCCCAGAATTACAAGGTTTCTGTTGATGCCGAAATGATTAATTTGTTGATTTTTCATGTTTCAGTTAACAAATGGTTTGTTCATTATCATTGTTTCAATTTCAGCATGTTTCAGTTTTAGCATTAATTTTGTTTACAGTGAGGAGAAAGAAAATACACATTGTACACTATGACAGATGTTTTATAAAGAAACCATGAAAACCGAAATAATGTTATGAATCAAAATATTAAAATACAGAAAGATGAAAGATATTTAATCATACAGTGTGTATTTTCTTCCTTCACACTGAACTTGGATCAGATTGGATTTAAAGTATAAAATTCAAGCTTCAAGTATACCAGCAACTGTCATGTTTATCTCTCAAACTCATCTCAACATAAAGAGCTGTAACTTACCTTTGAAGTTATTTAACTGTTAAGTCAAATCAATGATAAAATCTGAATTCATGTATGCAAGATTTTTTCATTTAATACAGGCATTTATTCTTTTTAGAGTTTGGACAAGAAGAGGTATTGATGGTGTTTAGAAACTTTAATGCCAGTATTTGTAGAGAAACTGCAGACATAACTGAAGATAATCTGGTTAACCAATGGAGTCTTCCGAAGAAAATTGTCATAAAAAAGTAATTTGGAATTCATTCAAGTTTTTAAAACAACACTAAATGTCTGATTGTCTCTGATTGTTTATTTTATCCAAGATCAAATTTGAAATGTTGTTCAATATAATTATCAAATATACAGCATGATGATATTGTAAAGTTAAAATGTAAATAATTCTAAAAACTTTTAAATCTTAATAGGGGTGAATTTGATTTCATCTTCATCACAATTTCAGTTTTTATAATCTTTTGCTCAATTTCAGGTATGGAGGGAAGATGTCTTCTCTCTCTTGGAAGACTGTACTACAGGAAAACAGCGACTTTCAACAGATAGCGCTTGTCATAGATGTAATGTTAACCATTCCCTCCACAAGTGTGAAGTGTGAAACAATCTTCTCCAAACTGAAACTTTTAAAAACCTGTAGACGGTCAAAGCTTGGGACTTCTGTTCTAAATGACTTGACGATTGTCAAGTTACAATCTCCATCAATAACAAACTTCGACCCAGAAGATGCTATTGAAAAATGGCTGGTAAGATGCATGTAAATTATCTAAAATGTTATTAAACATTATATCACTCATTAATAAACTAAAATATCATTTCTATGTGTAATATCTTACATGTTTCCTTTCTCACTAAAACAATACTTCAGAAAACCTCTTCACTAAAGATCTTGTTTTCATCACACCTTACACACTTTTCTCACAGGCCTACAAACATAGTTAGATTCTAATAATCTTGTTCTTGTTCCTCCAGGCTGCATCAGTAATGGGACGGCGTACAACTTATATCAGAAGGCCCAAATCTACACCCGTCGCAACCACAGTGTTCACTGACAGTGAGGCCCTCAGTGAGAATTGTCTACAGGTTGGGGTCATGATGGTGAACAAGTGTGCAAAGTTTCAAAGCCATATGTCAATAGACTTTGAAAATATTTAAACTATTACAAAAACTTTAACATAAGTGGTTACGCCGACGTAAAGATTACAAGAAGCATCATTGTAAAGTATTTCAACTTGATTTTAAAGGTTAATACCATATCTATATATGTGTTCCCTGTTAGTGTTAAGTTTGGATAAGATGTTATAATTGTAGGACGTATCCAAATAATATTCCTCTGAATAAAACAAAATTAATTTTCCTCCCGTGTAATACACAACTTTTAAAAATGGCCGCCACTTACATTTCACAAAGCCAGGTCCTACATGAATTTGCCTGACTAACAGAAATAAGGTGGGATGGTGTGACTTTTTCTTCTAGAATTGGTTGTTTTTATTATTAAAACAAGCGATCGTTCATTTTTTTTTTAATAAAATAAATAAAATCATTGCAACGTTGATTGTCAAACTTTTTTTTCAGCCCAAGACTTCCTGTATTTAAGAGAAATTGGACTTAAATTCATCTAAAATTGATGTTAACAGTGGGGAAAACAGATTTTTATATTAAAGTTAAAATTGAGGAAATTTCATTAGCATTAAATAAAGACACTTTATTGTTTGTTGTGTAAGATGTAATTTTATATCATAGAGGGACTTTTAAAAAACAGTATTCTCACAAGTGGCATAGACTACAAGTGGCATAGCCACTCTATGCCACTTGTGAGAATACAGTTTTTAAAGCTCACTTGATGATATAAAATTTCATCTTACACACAAATATCCTCTATAGATTTGCATTTTTTTAAATAAAAACATGTTTAGTCACTTCCTTCATCAGGTAAGGTCAGGTACACTTTGTTTCTTGCTTTCCTTCCCCCATCGCGGTCCCGCGCCCCAGCCAGCCACTTTGAAACCTCTATTTCTACATCCTTCCTCGTTGCAGTTTTTGTCGGCAAGTTCCTTTGAACACATTCTACAAAACAAGCATCCTTATCCTTAAAGAATGAAATGAAATGCAGTGAAATGTAGGTATTGAAACCATTCAAAGGTCATAAGTCACCTTGTAGCATTTTGAGCAGTATAAATTGGAATATAAACTAATTCTGGTATGTTTTAACAAATATAGATGTTTGTGTCCCGGTTTTACATAGCTTTTCAAAATATTTCTGTGATATCTCTGCAGTCAGTTGTAAGCTGAGATCATCTTATTGGTGTGTATCAGTAAAGAATGTTAAGGTAAGCAAATAACTTTCTTTACAGGAAGGTGATTTCTGCTTATATTATGCATCACAACACAATGCATGGGATCAAAACCACACAGCATGTAAAATATTCTCTCTTATTAATTTCCATAAAAGCTAGTCAAGCTTTTTCCTTCATTAAAGCGATACCCGAAGACACAATAACAAGATCTTGGATAACATATCTATTTTGAAGACACCACTTTGCAAATTTGTAAAATATCACTTACTATACAATACATTCAGTATCTAGAGGCCCACAAACTTTTTCTTCCAGTTCATTTGACATGGTTTCTTTCATCAAGCGGTCAACAGTTTCCCGTACATCTGCAATACCAAAACATTGAGAGGAACCGCACTTTAAATAAAGCAGAACATAAACTTTTTTTAATGTTAATTTTAACACTACTAAGTGATGGGCTGCAAGTCACCAAATGACAAATAATTGTCAACTGGACCTCAAAAACATAATCTGCCAAGAAAACTGTTTGGATTGACAAATTAAAAGATCTTCCCTCATATATTTACAGCCTAGGACAACACCTTGACTTGACTTGTGCCTTTATGTTTGTCCCCTCCACCGAGTGTTATGGGGCACATTATCATTGTTCTTTTTAACAAAAGAGTTTATACAATATCAACAGAATAATTTTTGATAATATAATAACAGCTCAATTCCTGGATTTTGTGGGTACTAGTCATTTTCCTGGTATTTTGAAAGCTGCCAGCATTTTGATTAATGAATTGACTGTCTTGTCCTAATTAATAATCAATGTTGAAAACGAGGCCAACTGCCCATGTCTTGTGCTCATGGCTATTATAGCATATCTAAATAATAACATAACTGTGTCAATATGAATCAAAAAATTAAAACATGCCAGTTTTTAATTCTGAAATTAATGCAGCAAAGTGTTTGTCCACTGTGCAATATTTTCCAACATAAATATAGCAGAATGATAATACATTATCATCAAGTGCTCACCACAGACCATTATGTTATTTCGCTTTTAGGCCAGTGGATATGGGGTATACTTTTTTCAGGTACTAATGGAGCAACATACATGACTAACACTATGCTTACCACAGATGAGAGCATTGTCTGATCTCCCAGAAGCTCATCGAATGCTTCCATCTGCTCAGGAGAACGAATAGGGAATGAGATATCTTTCGGAAGTTGCAGCGGTTGGTCATCTGCTGCTGACCTTAACAGCATTCGCTGCACCATCCTCTTAATTTCACGATTCTTCTCTCGCATTGTCTCCAAGACTCGGAGAATCTGTGTAACAGCAGCTGAAAAAAAAGGATTCATAATTCTAGGCCATATACTTTTAGAGCTATGTGAATTACAAATGAAAAAATCCAGTATTTTAAATTTTTCCTTGGCTTTAACAGTAATTAATGCTAAAATCTCAAAAGGATTGTTGAGTGTGCAAGGTCACAAAATGTGAAAATGATAAGAAATCATGAATTAAACTTAACATATTTTTGAGCCTAGGCATGTCATTTGGTGAAAATAAACATTCTTGACTCTTCCAGGGACCGTAACTTTGGATAACAGTAGTGGGGTCAGGCAAGAATATGCACACAAATTCACATCATGATAAAGACTAACACAAGTAATCATCAATTTCTTTTGAATATTTTTTGAACTAGGGGCGTCGCAAGGTGAAACTTTCCATTTTTGGCTTTGTCACTCAATCCAGCTTGTTATAACATTTATTGACTTGTTTTGAGGATAGAACATTTAATAAGTATGTACTGTAATAATAAATATATTTACAGCTCCGAAGTTTATACTTACTGGGCCCAATAATCTGCCCACGGAAGGGCGTATCAGAAGCACCTTGTATTGGAGAAGCACTTTGCACATCACTGCTGGCCTCTCGCAATGCCTGTGCAGATAAGCGAGGCGGAGATGAAAGTAGGCTTTGTGCCTGTTTGGGCGTTGTTGCTTGGTCAATAACTTGTGGTGGCCTACTCTCTGTGTCTGTCTCATTATCATCAGTGCCACTATCCGATTTATACAGCCTTTTTGATGGCCTATTTACAATAAAATGAAAATACATTAATAAGTAATTATAAAGTACATATACATTAAGTGAGTTATTGCGCCAAGTGACAATATGATTATGACCGGTAATCGGCTGACAAACATGTATTAGTCTATGTTTACGTACCGAATTGTTGTGCCGCAATTTTGTCTACCAAGGATTTTTAGCACGAATGCGCTTGTTTCCCCGATAGATATTTCATGAACGGGAAGCGCTAAAGACTTAGGGTCAGTCCCATTTGTCTGGACAATTGTTTTCACAACAGCCCGGGAAGTGAATCCCTTGCTTGCAGGCTCGAATCTGGAGTTTCTGGCCTTCTCTTAACTTATAGTATGTTTTTAAAGGGGGGGGTGGTATAATTTACAATTTTTTCGGTTTTTGACTTTTTAAAGACGAACAGAGGTTTAATTATCTATCGGGTCATATTTTTTTCTTCCCAGGTCCGATACTCGTGCCTGTGCAACTGAGGGCTTTGTTGATACTTGGAAAAAATACTTGAATTTGTAATAATAAGTAGATCTATTTGCATTTAATATTTTAAAATGCTTATGAATGAAATATTGGTACAAAATGGAAGGGACTTCTAAGGCTAGGAGGGGTCACTGGATTTCAAATGATGGTGTCCCTTTAATTAAAAAAGGATTTCTTAAAATTTAGTCTAGATAGAAACAATATTATTAAAATGTTAGTGTCGACTCCGTCACAGTTAAGTAATTCAACAATAACAACTATACACATCCATAGGTCAGCTAAAGTGCCTAATAGTGGGCGTAAATTCTAGAAAATGTCGCAAATTAAACTGACAAACGACTATCGCGAAATTACATGGCAAAAGCAAAAAAACAACAAATAAATGACGTTTACACTTACCTACACACACAATAAATGTGTAAGGATATAATATGAAAGGTCGTTATACGAAATCGTCGTTAAATGATCCGAATTGAAATGAAATATTGTTTTCGTGTACAATTTAACGTTTCAATACACAATTTGATTTTAAGCGGCAGCGGAAATCACGTCTGCGCATGCTCGAAATAAATTTTTAATCAAATGTTGATTTTTATAAATTATTTCTGAATTAATAGTCTAAAACACATTTTTATATTTAGATTATAAAAATTAAAACCAATATAAAAACTAAACAAATTAATTTCTCGCACCTGCTCAGGCATGCTAATATTTATCGGGTTGCCCGAATGGGACCCATATGGGTCCCTCATGGCTTGTATATATGTTAATGCTACGATTTTTATATAAGATAATAGCAATTTATGCCAAGGTGGTCACATTAAAAATCAAAGTAAACGAGTTCTAAATAAATAAATAGACGAAAAATCGTTTTTCCTTATAGGGCTGTAATATGGGACCCATATGGGTCCAATATGGGCGTACCCAAATGGACTTGCCCATATTGGTCCCATATAGGTCCAATATGGACATACCCATATGGGCTTGCCTAGATATAGCCCATATGGGTCCCATATGTGCATGTTTGCTGGGGCCCTCTGTTGGTGATATGGCCAAGAAAACCTCGCAGGTATCAACTGAGGCTAACTCGGGGATTTCAACCACCATATGCTTCAGTAAAGGTACTGGTATTTTATAACATCAATAAACTGAATTTATGGTGTCCAGCATAAAAATTTAGGTAAAAAGTTCTGAAAGTCTTGTCTGTCTGCTTGCAAAATAATACCAAACAAATTATTTTCTGCACTTGTTATACCAATAACACATAGTCATTATACTAAATGTAAGCTTATATGCTATAGTATTAAAAATCTTTAAATACTGCAGACAGTTTGATGAAATATGACAAACTGAACAAATACAAAATTCAACAAAAAGTTCATTGTTTCAAAATATATTTTAGATTCCACTCAAGATGTTCCGCCTAGCAACCAGCTGCATTCCCAGTCAGCAAAAGTTACAGTTAATATAGTCAAGAAGTCTTCGCAGGTATCAAGTGTCCAAACTGAAGCTATTGCAGGGACTTCAACCACCATGTGTTTCAGTAAAGGTACTGGTATTTTATAGGGATGCGGTAATAGAAACATCATAAAACTGAATTGTGTCCAACATTAAAATTTGGTTTATACAGCAATGAATGTAATGTTTCTTGCTCAAGGAAACAACGACTTGCCCCTGACAGGGTTAAAACCCATGCGGCTAGCGATCATTAGATTACCAGTCTGACGCGTTAACCACTCAGCCATGCCGCCACATTAAAAAATTTGCAACTCAATAGCCTGAATGTCTCTATCTTTGCATAGCTAGGTTGAAGGCCTGCCTCTTGACTCTGTAATATGAAACTGTAAAATGATCACCATTTAACTTTTAAAAAAATCTGAAAATTGAATTTTTAATAGAAATTAGAATTAAAGTCGTTAGATGAGAAAACACTTTAAAACAGGACTATTTTACTGGAAGTGAATAACTGTACGGGTTCGTATTTCTAGCTAAAAGTTTTATTTCCAGCTATCCTATATACATTATAGAGGCTAGTTGTGCGGCAAAATAAAAAAGCAAAACCTAAAACATGAAAAATGAAATCTTGTGCATCTAGAAGAGGACTTAAAAATATGAGAGTTTTAACTTTTTAGCATTTGATGAGATACAAATTTAAAGCCTTTGTATGGGTGGTTTTTCTTAATGAAAATACTAATGATTATTTAAATTTTAAATGACATTGAAAAATAATTTCTATGAACCATATATGTGTAAATACAAGAAAGGAAATTTCATCTCAAAGACTCAAACACTAACAAAAGCTTGTATCCAGCACTGAAAATATGAGCTTAAAACTTTTTGTGCTGTTAAAAAATTGCAAGGTTTGTGTTCACCATTAAAAATGTTTACATAAAATGGTATTCAAATAAATTTCATCAAATCACAAGTCAAATTCCTATGGTATATCCAGTTATAGTATGAAAAAAGTTATTTTAATGATTTCTATCACTTAACAACCAAATCATGATTAAATTATAATAATAATAATAATTAATAATGATAATAAAGATTTTTAAACCTCGAAGTTATAAATGGCTGAACATTATTGGTAAATAAAAAATATAAATATGTTTATATTTTGTGAATTTCAAAGTATAATTAAACTCGTAAGTTACTGACTTCGTCATTGCCTTTTACTTATCATTTAAAAATACCACACAACTAGCCTCTGCTGTGTGTATAGGCAAGCTGTATGTTACTTAAGTCTGGCTCGAAGCTAGAAGTATGGACCAGTATGGTTAGCCATTTCCTATTTTATCATGACATATGCATCTTTATCAAAATACTTTTTTTGGTTTTGTTTCAGGCTTAACTTCTGAGGATGAACATGCTGATACAGAGCCATGGACACATGAAGAGGTCTGCATATTACTAACTCAGCTTTTTGGGTCAAAGACTGTGCATTCAGTTTACTTGTGTTCCTCAAAGTGTTGTGCGAGTTTAAGCAAAAATGAAACAAGACGAATTGTCCCTAAAAGATTTAATCATCAAACTTTCATTACCAAGAAAAATTGGTGGTTAGTCTATGTTGAAGGTGAGGGTATGTACTGTACTGTTTGTAAGAAACATTGTATGAAGCACTCACAAAACAATGCCGAGGTCTTCTCTGCTGATCCAAGTGTTAGGTTTAAGCACTCCGCCATAATAACTCACAAAAACAGCAAAGTGCATAGAGCAGCCTTAGAAAACGAACTTGTACAAAAAGTGTCATGCTTTCACCATGAATTCACTAAAAAGTCTGAACATGATTATATGTATCTTCAGAGGGCATTTTCAGTGGCATATTTTTTGATGAAAAACTTTATAGCTAATGCAAAGTTTGAACCTCTGTTGAAGTTTATTGAAAACACTTGTGGTGACGACACTTTGAAGTATTTCCATCACAGCTCAGGAGGTTCAAGGCAAGAAATTTTTATGACAATTGGAGAGACTGTTATGTCAAATGTTGTAGATGATGTGAAAAACGCGGAGACTTTTGGAATTCTTACAGATAAAGTAGCAGACATTTCTGTCACGGAAAATCTAGTCACATTCATCCAGTATTACTCTAAATCTAGTAAACAAGTGGAAACAAAATTCTTGTCCTGTCAAAATATTTTAGAAAAATTTCAAAGTGCAAATGCCATGGCAATTAAATCACTGTTAGTCTCGGATATTTCAGAAAAGGGTCTAGATATCAAGAAACTCACTGGCTTTTCATCTGATGGAGCATCTGTGATGATGGGAAAGGACAGTGGAGTTGCTGCTTTGCTCAGGTCAGAGAACCCATCAATGATAAACATACACTGTGTTTGTCATAGACTGGCACTTGCATGCACTGATTCAAATGAATCTTTGACATATATTAAAACTGTTGAAATTTTGCTTAGGAAACTGTAGCAATTCTTTGAGAACTCTCCAAAGCAAATGGCTGCATACATTAAAATGCAAACGGTTCTGAAGTCAATTTATCTTGACAAACAAGGAACCAAAACAGTGACAAGGAGACTTAAGAAAGCTTGCCGCACAAGATGGTTGAGCCTTGATGCTTCAGTCACTGCTGTGAAAAAGGACTTTGAGCCAATCTTGCAAACATTGGCCATGATCCAGGAAACCCAGGCTACTGCCCATGGTCTCTTGAGGAAAATGAAAAAACCTCAAGTTTTACGGAACCATATACATTCTCAGTGATATTCTTCCCATCTTGTCTGAACTTTCACGACACTTTCAGAAGGGCTCTTTAAACTTTGCTGCAATATTGCCAGCACTGAGCTTATATAAAATGAAACTAAAAGAACTGAAAGAGACAAACAGCCCATTGCAGAACTTATCACAGGATATTGATTCGTTCACGGAAATGAGTTCTGAAATCAAGTTCAATCAAAAGGAGGCCAAGGAGCTTGAAAATCTTCTACACAGGTATATTGACACTTTAATAATCAATTTAGAAAAGAGATTCTTTGAAAACTCAGCAATTTTAGAAGCACTAAGCATTTTTGATCCTACTACTGTACCAAAATCAACAGAACCCGGTTTTCAAGAATTATGGTGTGAATCATGTAACAGTTCTTGCTGACCACTTCTTCACAGAAGCCAGAGATAAAGACAAACTTCAAACTCAGTGGGCAGGCTTCAAGTTCCACATTTGTGACATTCTACTCCCAGGCATGCCAGAGGATCTAGGTAAAATGACTCCAACTGAATGGTTATTGTTACAACTTCTTAGAAGCTCTGGGTTAAGACATTTCAATCCCCAACTTGTTTATTTGGCAGAAGTTGCAGCATCTTTACCAGTAACAAATGCTTGGCCTGAAAGGGGTGCAAGTGTCCTCAAAATCATAAAAACCAAACAACGAAACAGACTTGGTGTTTCCATGATGGACACTCTCATGCATGTTGGAATCAATGGACCCCCAGTTGAACAGAGCGAGGAAGTAATCAAGACATCTGTTTCTAACTGGCTGAAAACCAAGACTAGAAGAAAGGTTAAACCAATGAAGCAAACATTAATATCATCTGGATGACCTGCCAGCACTTCTGTCATGGTCGAGGATGCAGCAGTTCAGACAGATCAAGTAATGGTGTCCAGGGACGAGATTAAGACAGTAATAAAAGAAATGATGCTTGAAGATTTTGTCTCCAACTCTGAAAGTGAAAGTGATGATGTTTGTCTATGAGAAGGGATTATGAAAATGATGGTGTCTGACATTGAAAAATGATGATGCTTGAATATGAAAAATTATGATGTTTGACTATGATAAATTATGATGATTGACTATGATAATTTGAAGTGATGATGTTTGACTGTTTGAAGTGATGATGTTTGACTGTTTGAAGTGATGATGTTTGACTGTTTGAAGTGATGATGTTTGACTATTTGAAGTGATGATGTTTGACTATTTGAAGTGATGATGTTTGAAGTGATGTTTGATTATTTGAAGTGATGATGTTTGACTATTTGAAGTGATGTTTGACTATTTGAAGTGATGATGTTTGACTGTTTGAAGTGATAATGTTTGACTATTTGAAGTGATGATGTTTGACTATGTGAAGTGATGTTTGACTATTTGAAGTGATGATGTTTGACTATTTGAAGTGATGATGTTTGACTGTTTGAATTGATGATGTCGACTATTTGAATTGATGATGTTTGACTGTTTGAAGTGATGTTGTTTGACTATTTGAAGTGATGATGTTTGACTGTTTGAAGTGATAATGTTTGACTATTTGAATTGATGATGTTTGACTTTTTGAATTGATGATGTCGACTATTTGAATTGATGATGTTTGACTGTTTGAAGTGATGATGTTTGACTATTTGAAGTGATGATGTTTGACTGTTTGAAGAAATGATGTTTGACTATTTGAATTGATGATGTCGACTATTTGAATTGATGATGTTTGACTGTTTGAAGTGATGATGTTTGACTATTGGAAGTGATAATGTTTGACTATTTGAATTGATGATGTTTGACTATTTGAATTGATGATGTTTGACAATGAAATTTGATGATGTTTCACTATGAAATTTGATGATGTGTGACTATGAAAAATGATGATGTTTTGTTTATTTAAATTGATGATGTCTTGCTGTGAAATTTGATGATGTTTTACTATGAAATTTGATGATTTTTGACTATGAAATTCGATGATGTTTAACTATGAAATTTGATTAAGTTTGACTATGAAAATTGATGATGTTTTGTTAAATTGATAATGTTTTCCTATGAAATTTGATGAAGTTTGGCTATGAAATTGGATATGTTTTACTATGAAAAATGATGATGTTTTACTATGAAAATTGATAATGTTTTGCTTTGAAAATTGATGATGTTTAACTATGTGAAAGTTGTAGTGATGAAGTTTTGCTATGAAAATTGATGATACTTTGCTTTAAAGATTTATGATGAAAAATTATGATGCTTAACTATTTGAAGTGATGATGCTTTACTTTTTAAAGTGATGATGCTTTACTATTTGAAGTGATGATGTTTGACTGTTTGAAGTGATGATGTTTGACTATTTGAAGTGATGATGTTTGACTGTTTGAAGTGATGATGTTTGACTATTTGAATTGATGATGTCGACTATTTGAATTGATGATGTTTGACTGTTTGAAGTGATGATGTTTGACTATTTGAAGTGATAATGTTTGACTATTTGAATTGATGATGTTTGACTATTTGAATTGATGATGTTTGACAATGAAATTTGATGATGTTTCACTATGAAATTTGATGATGTGTGACTATGAAAAATGATGATGTTTTGTTTATTTAAATTGATGATGTCTTGCTGTGAAATTTGATGATGTTTTACTATGAAATTTGATGATTTTTGACTATGAAATTCGATGATGTTTAACTATGAAATTTGATTAAGTTTGACTATGAAAATTGATGATGTTTTGTTAAATTGATAATGTTTTCCTATGAAATTTGATGAAGTTTGGCTATGAAATTGGATATGTTTTACTATGAAAAATGATGATGTTTTACTATGAAAATTGATAATGTTTTGCTTTGAAAATTGATGATGTTTAACTATGTGAAAGTTGTAGTGATGAAGTTTTGCTATGAAAATTGATGATACTTTGCTTTAAAGATTTATGATGAAAAATTATGATGCTTTACTATTTGAAGTGATGATGCTTTACTTTTTAAAGTGATGATGCTTTACTATTTGAAGTGATGATGTTTGACTATGAAATTTGATGATATTTAACAATATAAAGTTTGAAATGATGATGCTTGACTTTGAACAATGTTAAAATGTGATCATGTGAGAGTATGTAAAATGATGATTGTTGGCTATGAAAAGTGTTTATGTTTGGCTTTGAAAATTGATGATGTTGATTATAAATAATGATGATCAAGTATATCTTGGCTTGTTGTTTATTAACTTTCTACAGTTAAAATTTGCAAATAGGTGTGAATGAAAAAAAAATATTGTTAAAAGCTGTGTATAGTGAGTGACACAACTAACAATTATGAAGTGCATATTTCAGTGCACCTGTTTCAAACTTTTCCAGTAGTTTCCATAGTAATTTTTCAAAAAATGATGCTAAACCAGAGTGGCTAAAGTAGCCCTGAAAGTGCTCAGAATGCAGGATTTTGCTTCCTGGATTTCAAAATTTCCGGGGGGGGGCATGCCCCCGGACCCCCCTATCAGCCCTCCTTCAATCACATTCTGGCCTCTTACACAAAATCTTAATGAAAACCCTGACACATACTAATTATCCTCATAGAGCTAGAGTGTATCCTTCTATTAATAAGTGTAATTCTAAGAGGTGCGGATGTTGTAACTTTTTATCGCACAGGTCTACAATAACCTCTAATGTAAATGGGAGAACTTTTAATATTATTTTAAATACAGATATTGACTGAAAGGCAACTCATTTTGTTTATGTTTTAACTTGAACATCCCTGGGTGTGGCATACAGTATGTTGGTCAGACAGGACGTTCTCTTAAAATTCGATTCCGTGAACATTTTTATAAAATGAGAAATCGCACAAAATTTACAACTTTTCTATATCAACATTTTCGTAAAGATGGTCATTCATTAAAAATGTTTCAATTCAACCAGTGGAACAAATAATTTATGATTCTGATGCTTCTGCTAGTTTTAAAGTTAAGGTTAGACACTTGGCAGAATTAAAATGGATCAAGAACTTACAAACGCCTTTCCCACTTGGCCTAAATGACAATATTTTTCAACAAGGTAACATCTCTAAAGATCCAAACATTGATATATTTTCTATTCTGAATATTTCGTAAACGTAAATCCCCGATCTCACGGAGTACGTAGAAAATGGCAACATCAAACGTAAATCTAAAATTACCCTGTCTGTCAACGACTTAAATATTATCTTAAAAACTCTGGTAAACATGCAATGTTATCACGTCTTACTTCCCTTTCATTATCATCTCTGAAAATCTTAGACGCGGGAGGCAGATAATATAGTTATTCAAACAGATCCTTTATATACAGCAGCTTATCTTATTCAAAGTTATACTCGGCACGTCTTAAGACCTCATATCGACAAACACTTCTGACCACGAAACAGGCATTTCCTAAAAGTAACCTTTCTTAATAAAGGTAATTGATTTCATCGATTTACCAAGTATTTTTCGTGATAAACGTGTCACTAATTCAGTTCCTTTATACTTCAAAAACTCCGAGCTATAAATATAAGAAACCTGTTAGAAATATCATATTTAATTACAACAAAGTGGTTTCTGACTTAGATATTCAGTCTAAAACTCCAACAACTTGAGACTGCAATACTTCTAAATTCTGTAATTCAGAATCACTGGTAATTTTGATATAATTGCAGACAAAAGAATTCGTAACTTATTCTTGAAAGGACCTAAATACAGAATTCCTTCTGAAATTGATTTTAATGCTTGTTATGGTCAGATTGCTGAATCTATAGAGGATTTTTCGGTCAAATGGTGTCGCCGTGAAAATGCGGATAGTAATGCTCTAGTTACATGGAAACGTAACATCTTTAAAATTATTGATTCACGTATTAATTTTTATCGTGGAAATGAACATCTTTTGCCACCTAAACCAAAATTCTGGAAACAAAGTGATCCCTCGGAAGCATTAATCACAACAAAATAACATAAGAATTGCAGACTCGGTTTGATTGAGTCTGTACATGAGTGATAATGAATAAGTGCAACATCACTCACGCCCCCTAGCACCGGCTTGAGCGGTACTCAATTCTCAACACTTTATAGTGTTGGCATCAATGATCCCGAAGGACCAGAAAATATAACAACACTGAAGTGAAGTACGGGGGCAACTTTTTACGGCTGCCACACGGCACTTGACACCTGCTGTTGTGAAGTACAAAATTCTGGAAACAAAGTGATCCCTCGGAAGCATTAATCACAACAAAATAACATAAGAATTGCAGACTCGGTTTGATTGAGTCTGTACATGAGTGATAATGAATAAGTGCAACATCACTCACGCCCCCTAGCACCGGCTTGAGCGGTACTCAATTCTCAACACTTTATAGTGTTGGCATCAATGATCCCGAAGGACCAAAATATAACAACACTGAAGTGAAGTACGGGGCAACTTTTTACGGCTGCCACACGGCACTTGACACCTGCTGTTGTGAAGTACAAAATTCTGGAAACAAAGTGATCCCTCGGAAGCATTAATCACAACAAAATAACATAAGAATTGCAGACTCGGTTTTTGATTGAGTCTGTACATGAGTGATAATGAATAAGTGCAACATCACTCACGCCCCCTAGCACCGGCTTGAGCGGTACTCAATTCTCAACACTTTATAGTGTTGGCATCAATGATCCCGAAGGACCAGAAAGACTTACTTTAAGACATCTGAAAAAAGATATTTTAGCTTTTCATTCAAAATTTGTTTTGGTGCCAGCGGACAAGGCGGCTAATAATATTATAATTGTATGACGAGTCCATTACATTAACGTTTTGCATAAGGAACTAAATAGTACTAATGCGTATTCTAAAACCTCTGCCTCCGAAAAA